GGGGGAAAGTCTGGGTGTACGACCATTTGTTTTCCACTCACCAAGTGAAAAACTTCTTGACTCAACTTCTATGGGAGGCTAAAACCGTTACAGGTACATCTATACATCATAGCAGGCACTTTCAGTGAAAGGATACTGGTACATGTACATATATGTCCAGGTTTAATGCTCCTGCCACACTGAGTGGAAGCCAAAAATAAGAGATTCCCCTTACTGTAAGAACAAAGTACCTGATGCTGGAAAACCAGGCACCGTGTTGAAAATTAGCAGTGTTCTGGTTAAAATAAGCCTTCCAGGTTTTTGTTCTGTAGAAGTCAGCATTTCAGTGCTTCTCGCATGTGCATTGTATTGATGTCTTAACATAGACATGTGGTAAACTGCCATTTAAACTTCTCATCCAACATTTTTTAAGTGAGAGTCTCAACAAAGTTGATGTATCATTGTAGATTTTTACAATTCCATCAAAATCCATGTTCTTATTGAACTTTTTGGGGGGGATAAAACTGCCTCGGCTGAGCAGATTTACTATAGTACCGGTAAGTCCAGTCAGAATACACAGAGGATTTACATCCCTGCTTGCTTTACGTTATGCTCCCAGTGACTAAAGGTGACAGACCAAAATTGTCTGCAGAAACTCTCTGCAGAGCAGCGGTAGTTTGACAGGAACCCAGTGAATCCAATTGGAAAAGCTCTGCACTGCAAAACTTCTGCGAGTACACTTTACGATGCCCAAGTTACAATAAATGGCTTACAAACACAACTCTCTCAACGAAATTTGCCCAAGTTGAAGTGCGTGCAGCTGGTGCAGATGTGTAGCAAAATTACCTGCCTTGATGCCTCGTTTGTGATCTCCTTTTACCTTTTAGTCATTGCAGTGTCTCACAAAATCTGCAGTAAATAAAAAACAAACCGTTTTACAAGTGCAGTAGTAAAGAGCTACATGTACATGTACATGTATGTGCTGGTACCTAGTAATCTTCCTCCTGCTTCAATCATCAAATTGCTTGGAAAGACCATTTCCCTGTGCAATATTCCCGAGCAGTTGAAAGCTGGAAGAAATTAATGGTAAGAATGTTAAATATTTTTTCTGCTTTTTTTTTTTTTTTTACTCTTGCAGACTCTTCAAGATTTTGAGTTTCTTAAGATGTTAGGCAAAGGCACATTTGGGAAAGTCCTGCTCGTCAGAGAGAAGACAAACGGGGAGCTGTATGCCATCAAGATATTAAAAAAGGAAGTGATCGTGGCAAAGGTATCATTTTGTTTCCTTGATTGATATTCTTTTTCACCACATCTTTCTGTCCCATGAAAAATGTCTATTTCAAGAAAAGTTTTTTTCTGGCCCCTCCCCCCGAAAAAAATCACACTCCCTGTTTTGGATGCTGGGAGTGAACTTCCGAAATCTTCATTAGACCCACCACTCCAGACATACTCATTTTCATGATCTCTGCTTTGAAGACTCTGTTGGGGGTTCAGTGGAAATTTACTGAGTTTTGCACTACATTTTCAACTTTGTCTCCAAAATTTCAAGCTCTAGAAACTTCTTCTTGAAACTTTTAATTTGATTCTGGGAATTCCCCAGCAAATTTTCTTTCCTCCCACTTTTGCCCCCGTCTGTCATACCCGTGCACATTTGCTCATTAATTATGCAAGAATGACACCTGCTTTGCCTTCAAAGTTTGACTAGTCAGCAGGCAAGTGTTATGGGCCCTCAACAGCCGTAAGCTTGGTGACGTGAAGGAAAACTTGGCACTCTGGAATCGGCCCCGTGCACATGCCACACCATGCAGACTGATTGGGCCGATGTACATGTTATATAGACCCAATTCAGAAGGATGTCATTTTTGATCATGTGCCCTGAATCTGTCTTATTCAGTATAATCTGTCAAACGGGTGGTGCCAGACTATTTGGGGTTCCATGTCCCACTTTCATTTTTTAATAAGGGAATAAATACATGTATGTGCTTGGCCAGTTTTAAAACGTGCATTTAAGACTGGCTGAGGAGAGTGGACATGACTAATGCCCAAGCTGCAAGTGAGGGCATTATCAGCATTCATTCCCCAGAGCCGGTGTTAACCAAGCACGTTTATTCCCATCCATAAATACCTTATTAGTCAGAAAGTCAAAAAAAGTCAATGTGTGATGGATTTCCAATGATTTTGTTCCAGAATTTTACTTTCCATTTTCCCGAACACCCCCATCCATTCCATGGTATATTCCTTCTGCAAGTTGTTCAAAAGAATCTCCTTATATGGACTTGGCATGCGTGTGGTGCATTGCGTGCACACAGACTCTAGACCAATCAGAATTGATTAAACTGGCTCGTATCCAGGTGCCAGCACCTGATTCACACAACGGGCATTATCAAATGTTAATACACAGTCAAGTTGCTCACTGTTGAATAGGGAGACTGTCTGAGGTATATACATGTTGCTTAAGACATATAGATACCGGTATGATAATGTACATGTATATCACAAATTTTAAATTATTCATCATTTTAAATGAAATCAATCTGTAATGAAATTTGTTGCTTTAGTTTGTATTCTCAAGTCTCATAATAAAAATTTAACCTCACTTTGAATTCAGTATGGCTGACTTGTGTATGAGGTTTTTATCAGGCCATGTGCATTTACTGAATCATTCAGAACTATTGAAACAGCACATTTACCAGCTCTGAAACTTTTTCAGACATGCTCTCCAAGTCTCTGTGGAGGCTAACTAACCTTGGTTGCATAAAATTTGCATGCATACCGGTACATGTATATACATGTATGTCACATGTTGTTTTTGGTGCCTCAGGCTTCGTTGAACGATGGATGACACTCGTACTGCTTTTGCCTCAAAGTTATGTAAAGCAATCAGTTTTACACATGTACATGTACTTCCTTTATGTCCTCTCTCCCTCAGTTTGCTGTCCCAGCCAAACCTCTAGTTTCCTTGCCCCGAGTCCTACATTTTCTAGACGTCAGTTTTTGCCCATCCATTGTAAGAAGATGTCATTGGTGCTGTGTGATGTGAATGATATGCAAAGACGGGATGCTGAAATGAGCCAGAATCCCAGCTCCCTTTGGCTTGAAATTGCAAGAGTAAATTTGTGCAGACCGTCCTGCTACTCTATCCAGGCAGCTTGTTAATGTCCTTTAGACTCGGTCGGGAGGTGGGAGTAGCCCAGGCTTAGTTTGCCCATTGCAAAATCAAATGGTCCTCCTCTTTAGGTTGAATTGCAGAATTACAGGCTGTGGACACTACGGGTAGCTGAGATTTTTCCTGTTCCCATGTTATATATTGTGACCTTCAACATCCCGACTTTTGCTTTTGGCCAAGGTACAGCACTGGACACCATAAGCAACGAGCTGCAGACATTTTTGGTAGATTCTGAAGTCCCTTGTTGTATTGGGGAGGGGGGTTGAAGCCAGGTGACTCACCCTGAGGTGGGAAGGTGGGTGCATCCCCTTCCCCCAAAAAGTCAGAGCAGCGGGGACCCTGTTTTCCCTCCAATTAGCCAACTCGTTAGTCATCCTTTCCTGTTTTTCCCACTTCACTTTTCTTTTTTTTTTTTTTCCTCTCGGTTTTCCCTAGGATGAAGTTGCCCACACGCTCACTGAAAGTCATGTCCTTCAGAGAACCCGCCATCCGTTCCTGACGGTAAGATGTGTTAGAGATTGACATTGACTCCCAGGGTGACATGCCTTGACCTGCAGCATTGCGTCAGGTCAGGCTCGTAGCTGGGGCTAACCTTCACTGGACTTTCAGATTTTTGTCTGTTTTGTTGCATTTGTTTCATTCAAGTCCCCAGACTGGGGTAAATATGGAAATCATGTCAAGGCACGATAAGTCCCCCCCTAAAATTTAAATTTTATATCTTACTTGCAATTTTCAGATTTACCCTAAGACATCCTCAAATCTGAAAGAATAGAGCTCAGTGTAATGCTTGTAGACCACTGTAGTAATAACCTCACTTCTTTTTAGCATATGTACTTTTCTGTGGAGACATTTGCGGGCCCCAATACAGTGGGCTATTGAATTGTTATAAATGCAAATTAGTGTAGTAACATGCCAAAACCAGTTACATTGTTGCGCATATGTGAAACATACAATGTACACGTATTTCCATCTATCAAATATTGAATGTGGTGTCCTAGTATTGTGGGTGTGCTGTTACAAAGTGTTGAATTCTGCCAAATTTAGAAAGCTTTCAAACTTCCGGGGGGGGAGGTGATGATACATTTGTTAAGGCTGAATTTTTTTCTCCAGTCTTCTGCTACAGTCTAGTGGATATTTCATGAGAGTGTCGCTGGATGACAAGTCCTTGTTGAATTGGTAACTTTTCCCGAAAGAAAAGGTTGATAGGGGTTGAATAGCTGGATAAATCACCCGCAGGATGCCAACAGAAATGGCATCTCTGAATTTCTCTTTACATTTCCATACTTGCAAACAGATGTGATCGGACTTGATTCAGCTCACTTCCTGCAGGGTTGAGAATGTTTAGGCAAGTTGTGGATATGTATAATGCCAAATACAGGAAGAAAAAGAGAATAAGACCCACGAAGGATAGCTGTGAGAAAATATTGAGTCGACTTAAGAGTGATGATAAATGCAAAAACATGTAAGCCTGAAACATCATAGGTTTAAGACTGCATTAGAAATTTTTCTCTTATTTTAGTTGGAAATGAGGTTCCAATGGACAGAGCAGGACTAATTAAAACACTTTTGAAATAAAAAAATCGATTTTTTATCAAGGCCAAACCTTAAAAGGGTGAAAATCCTCAAGGGTTAACTTCCTGGCATCAATTTTCATGATCAGCAGATAGGATGTCTGATTCATGGGTCATTCCCCAATGCCTCTCTGTTGGAAAGAGCTTCCCTCTCTCTCCAAAAAACGCTTCCCTAGGAACAGCCTGAAATGCAACTGATGCTAGTTAAAAAGTGTGACCCAAGGACTCATCCTAGGAAACCCACGAAAAATACCCTCACCCTGTTTGGGTTATTGTTAGGAGTAGAGAAGGTTGCTCATGTATAAATGACATGCTCACCTTCAGTTTCTCATTTGTACTTTGAGGTGCATAGCAGGACATATAAACTCATCCCTGTGTTTGGGGCTCAGCATTTGGATTCAAACTATTCAGAGACCAGCAGACTTTCTGTAAGGAGACATGTACATACATGTATGAGCAACTAATCTCCTATTATGAATAGAGTGATTTCTAAAAAGCATAAAAATCAACCTCAAAGACGAGAAACCATAAGAAGTACAGCAAAGTATATGTTAATCAGACTTTGTCCATGCTACCTCTACTCATTAGTCCCTTACATGTAGGGGGTCATGCCAACAAGAGGTTTCTACAGTAGCTGTTAAGTGCATTAGGGTGCCTTTTTATATTGTGTGGTTTTCATGTTTTTTTTTCAATTGAGGGAGGGTCAGTCGGTTGGAAAAAAGAAATATTCCTTAATTAAATAATTCCAAGCTGCTGTCATACAGATGACTGAATAAACTAGGCAAATGTTTCATGCTTGCCACTTGTTTTTGCCAGAAAAATACCACGCTTGACTATAACAAGTCTATTTTGAATGAATGCGGCTGCGGTACCATGCTGCTATCAACGACAAAACACACCTCCTTTGAGTCATTGTCAAGACACCATACGGTGTTCTTGTGTGCTTAAATACATGTATATAAGTAGTACATGTACATGTATGTTTGGTTTTCCTATGGCACTCCATGCATGTACATGTCATGATTGTGTGCAGTGCATTGGGAGCAGTACAGTACCTGTTGGTCTGGTATTGTTGCCGTGCCATGGATTTCGACTGTTGCTGCGTTGATGTTTGGGCAAAATTATATCACACATGTACAAGTACATTGTTGTTTGTACAGGTCATCACAA